ATTTAGAAATGACTCCAGAAGAGGACCACACACATGTTAAGGGTGGTAACTGGCATATACCACACACAGTGGGACAACAGAACCAATCAAACAATTTGTCATTAATTTAGAAATGTTGGAACAAATCAGAGTCAACTAAAGCAACAACCATGAAGGCAATGGGACTTGATGTCATCCTCACACACAATTTGATATTTCACAAAATCATTGAATAAATCATTACAATTGTTGCATCTTAAATATATTCAACATACAAATATAACATACAAGAATATTTATAATAGACTTGTACAATTACTGTATTATATTCCCAATCAATCAAATTCTTATCTCATAAAACTAGTGGTATAGTCTTTGATGAACACAGACCACTTTCATCTCTTCAGTCTTAAGTACGTACATAACTTTCTCGAGAGTTAATAAGGCCACACTGATTTAATTTTATGGATGACATCCGCGCGCGCATTGGTTTTTGCTTGTTCTCCAAAAAAAAAAAAATCATGTCTTTTGAGGCTTCACAAAACTCCGGAACTCGGCTGGAACTCGGTACAGACTGCCGACTCATGAATGCCGCAAAAGGGCGGCTTATCGTAAAACTTCTTTTGTACTACCGCAAAACGTAAATTTTGTCGTAAATGAACCCTTTGCACATGCGTACTAGCTACACTAACAATGTAGAGCGCGAAGTTTGCAAGAGATGGCGGGGCAGCGTCGTCCTCAAAGTACGTCAAACTGGAGGCGTTGTTGTCGACTGGTATGCCATCGACATTGGCGAGGGGGATGTAACGTTTGCCCAGCTTTACGAGCGACTCGTGGCAGCCAGCGAGTATCGCCCGGACAGACGTCCTTTCCAGAGCGGCCACCACACGTTTCTATTGCAACGATGAGAGAAATGGGAGCTGTGTTGAGGTGGCCTTTAAAGTGGGTCAGGCCACTTCTCAGTGCAGTTCGGCTGTTTTGTCCGTATTGTTGTTGACAAAACTGCAACAACTAAAGCCAAAGATTGTCAGCAGAAGTCAGCTTTTGAGG